CTCCTGGTGATAGGCCCAAAGACACCCAGATGACTATTATGGCTAAGCTGGGACTAGAACTCGCCGTCTCCTGGTGACTGGCCCAAAGTCACCCAGCTGGCTTTCATGTCCCAGGCAGGACTATAACTCACCATCTCCTGGTGATGGGCCAAAAGACACCCAGCTGGCTTTCATGGCTAAGCTGGGACTAGAACTCACAGTCTCCTGGTGATTGGCCCAAAGTCACCCAGATGATTATTATGGCTAAGATGGGACTAGAATTCGCTGTCTCCTGATGATTGGCCCAAAGTCACCCAGCTGGCTTTCATGGCTAAGCTGGGACTAGAACTCACAATCTCCTGGTGATTGGCCCAAAGACACCCAGATGACTATTATGGCTAAGCTGGGACTAGAACTCTCTGTCTCTTGGTGATTGGCCCAAAGTCACCCTGCTGGCTTTCATGGCTAAGCTGGGACTAGAATTCACAGTCTCCCGGTGATTGGCCCAAAGACATCCTGATGACTATTATAGCTAAGCTTGGACTAGAACTCTCCATCTCCTGGTGACTGGCCAAAGTCACCAGTTGGCTTTCATGCCCCTGCCGTCTCCTGGTGATGGGCCAAAAGACACCCAGCTGGCTTTCATGGCTAAGCTGGGACTAGAACTCACAATCTCCTGGCGATTGGCCCAAAGACACCCAGATGACTATTATGGCTAAACTGGGACTAGAACTCGCTGCCTCCTGGTGACTGGCCCAAAGTCACCCAGCTGGCTTTCATGTCCCAGGCAGCACTAGAACTCACAATCTCCTGGCGATTGGCCCAAAGACACCCAGATGACTATTATGGCTAAACTGGGACTAGAACTCGCTGTCTCCTGGTGACTGGCCCAAAGCCATCCAGCTGGCTTCCATGCCCCAGGCGGGACTAGAACTCACCGTCTCCTGCTTTCTAGCCTGGTGTCTTAACCACTCGTTCAAACTGACTCTCCTGAGTTTCTCATGAGCTGTATGGATTGTCAGTATGTTTCCAGGCGCAATTCAAGGTGCTGGTTATCACCTTTAAAGCCATTTATGGCTTTGGGCCAGATTATCCAAGGGGTAGTATTTTTTATTATATTTTATTAATTTTTAGAAGAGAACATTTTTTAACATTTAGCAAACAGCATGTTGTCTGGATCCATGTGTTTACAAAACAATCAATCGTAGTTTCTATATTTTCATAATCAATATATCAGTTAACAATATATTTCTCATATCTTCACTTCACCTGGTGGTCTTCTTCATACTAATACATATTTAATGTTACATAGTACATAT